CATTTCCAAGTGCTGGTCCAGATCCTGACCTATAATTAGCTTCTATTTCTGGCCCATTAATTTTTGAAGAAAGGGGTCTAGTTTTGAACGCATTGCCTTTTGAAAATAAAGGCCCAATTTCGAACCCAATACTTGTAGGCCCATTAGCTTTAAAAAGTTCTGGCCCATTATCCTTCACAGACAAGGTCGACATCTCGCTTTCTTCGGTCGCCTCCTTCAGCATAATCTGTCTTCGCGTCTCTTCTCGACGTACTTTCGAAAATACCTCACGTGTCGAAGGTAGCTGTTGCCGGCCAAGAATTCGGCCTCTCACATCATCTAAATCGCGATTCAACCCAGCAAGAAACTCATATACTCTTTCATTCTCCACTTTCTTTCTGTATCTGCTACTATCGCCTGGTAACTCCCATTTTTCTTCGAGGCTTAAATCTAGTTCTTGCCTGAGGTTAACCATCTCCATATAGTACTCCGTGACTTCTCTTGATCCTTGTTTTGTCTGCCATATGCAAGTCTTAATTTCAAAAATCTGTGATGCGTTTTCAGAGTCGGAATATGTTTCTTTCACAGCTTTCCATACATCCTTTGTTGTTGGAAGGAACAAGTAAGTTTTCCTAATGGACGGCTTCATGGAAATCACGAGGCAGGCTATTATCATTGAGTTTTCAGATTTCCACTTTTGAAGGAGGGCAACATCCACCGGTTTTTTTGTCTCGCCGGTAAGGTAACCAAGCTTACCCTTTCCATCTATCACCAATTTAATTGATTGGGCCCACTCTTGAAATTTTTTTCGTTGAGTTTCTCAACTGTGAGTTGGAAAGATGAGTTTTCGAGTCCATAGGATCCCATTGAAGATTCTGCCTCTGTTCCAAGTTGAGATGTTTCAAAGATTGACTCTTTGCTGTTGATGGTGGAATCAGCCATTGATACTTAGGTTATAGGGACGTTGGCTTTGATAACATAAAGACAGAATTAGGATATGAATAATCCTATATGAGTTTTATTCAATGATATGTATATGAATTTATAATAGAATGAAGGTAACATGAAAGGAAAGATAATCTCCTAATAAAGGAAAGAAAAAACTTGCCTAACTAATTGTTATTTAAACAAGGTATATAATCAATCATAATATACAATAATAAAGTCCAAAAATTTCAGATTTCTTCACCCGTGACATCACCACCACCATGAAAGCATATTTTGATTGTTCATAGCCCACATTTTGCTCGATGCCACGACCCATAAGAGATAGTTTATGGGATCGATTTATGGTAATTATTATTTATTATATTCGAAATTTTTTTATATTCATTAGGTCCATGATTTGATTTTTTTTATTTATATATAAGGATAAATATGTATGGCCGACTGCAAATACTATCCATGTGTATGACACATGGAGGGTCACAGTGAAGGACAGATTTAAAGATATGATATGAATGATGCTTGTGAGACAAGTTAGTTTGATAATCCTGCTGATTGGAAAGGACATGACCGGTGTTGGATAAGAGTGGAGTATTGGGATAGTCTTGTAAATTATTGGAATACTGAAAAATGGAAAAAAAAAATTGTCTTGCACAAGGACAGGATGGTGAAATGAAGAAGCATACTACTGGTTCAGTCTTCTTTGTGATTACTAAGAAGAGATCGATATATTTTTTTCATTCTATTTCTATTTTGAATTTTAAAGTTCATGTGTATTTTCAACTGATTGTGATTAATGAGTTGCATGTTTTGGGAGAAGGATATGGATCGTCCAATGTCCCAATTAGAGTTTTCAATCATGTTTACGGGAAGAATCACGGACTTGGCGATTTTGTTGATAAAAAATCCAAGCGAGTTCATGTAAGTACAATTAGAGTTCATGTACTTCATAGTTTGTTCATATAGTTAGTAAGAATTTTTATTTTTCGTAGGATACTTATAAGACATCAATCAAGTCCAAGTATGGCACTGTTAGGGATAATCAACCTGAGTTCGATCCTAATTAATGGATCGATGCTGTCAACGGTCCATCTAAAGGTCGTGTTTATGGGTTTTGTCATAGACAACTTGCTTCACTTGTTCTTGGTACTCCCACTTCATCTAGACGTTCAATACTTGCACGTGATGAAGAGGTGAATAATTTGAAGTCAGAACTAGCAATTGCACGAGATACAATAGATGGAAACGACACAAAGATTGATGATCTCATTGTAAGTATTGAATGAGTTGAAAGAAATCAGGAGATCGAGATGCGAAAAACAGTGCGAAGCATGCTCGGGGAACTAAATGTTCCTAATTTTCAATTTCCTTCTAGCTCGGATCACGAAATGATGATGTGAGACATGATATTTGGAATTTGGAATTACGATGTAATAATTTAATCTATTAGAGCTTTAGTGTATTTTGACAAATTTGATTATTTAATGCATCTTGAAATAAATAATTATTAATTAGTGGGTTGTATAAATTTTTAATTATTTTTATTTAAAAAATAATAAATTAAGATTCACCAACGGCAAAGGTATTGAAGTATCAAAATATAATTGTAGTAACGGATGGTTTGTTGGTCAAATATTCAGTTTGTAATACCCATTTTTTTCTAATTAGGGAATATCCGTTGGCAATTACAAAGTCTTTACCAACAGAATGTCCGTTGGTAATGAAAACACTTTTACTAACAAAATTTCCGTTGGCAACTATAAGGTTTTACCAATCAAACTTTTGTTGACAATGAAAGATTTTTACCAATAGAATTTTCATTGGAAATGACAAGATTTCTACCAACGGAATTTTTTGTGGAAATGACAAGGTTATTACTAACCGAGTAACGGGCTGTCCGTTGGCAATGGAAAGACATTCACAAATGGAAATTCAGTTAGTAAAATTAATATACTATCAGTGACCCTTAATTAGCAATGGATTTTCAGTTGGTCTTTTTCCATTGGTGAAGACTAGTAGCAACATATATTGTGGCATCAGGAATGGAAAATTCGTGCCTGAAGTCATGTTTTTTTAGTAATTGGTTTATTATTATTATTTTGGGCTCTATTCCTTTAACTAAATTGGAAGGCTCCCAAATTCGGCGATAAGAGCAAGGGTGGGTGAATCCTTCATTGGTTCGTCTCCAATCAACCTTGGTTGGCCAAAAATTAGCCCAGGAAAGAACCGGCTAAAATTAGGAACCATTCTTTATGGCAGACAAACGGAAACAGGAGACTAGAACTATCTATTCCCACTTAATTCGTGGAAAGCTAGTTCTAAACGATGTACGCCCAAGGACGATACCACTTTTTCTTGGTGTCTCTGTCATGCTTTTTGTCATCGTGTGTTGAGTTACGTTCTTGGATTGCTTTTCATAACCGTCATCACTATCGTCTTCGATGGACGCCAACAAATGTAAGTACAATATCAATCAAACAAAGTTAATATTTACTTGATGGATGTATCTATTTCAAAATTTTGATCGAGTTACGTTATATTAAATCAATCATCAATCTTAAAAGAAATATTGAATGGACATTTTTTTTCCCAGCATCACATCTATAATTCAATGTTTAGTCACTCATTGCAATACTCGTCTTGATTAAATTAATTGAAGCTCTAATTTTGAGAAAAAGAAAATTATGAAAACATCCACTTTGAGGCACCTCCAAGAATAATGTGAATTGATTTGATATTAAAGTGTTTTTGTAATTACCACTTCTTTTCTCGTTCTCGTGATGTATTAATTTGCGTTCCTTTTGATCCATGCATTGTTATATGGACACAATAAAAAGAAGAAAACTTTTATCACTTTATTAATGAGAATATTTCCTTTATTTCTTTCATGAACTTTATATAAATAGAATCCAATAAAACAAACTATAAGAATGCATCATAAATGGATACTATTTGCTGTCCCGTGATGAGAATACGATATTTCATGGATTTTAAATATATGTATATTAATATTCAGTTGACGTGGTCACTCATTAAACTCGAGCTAAGGTTTTACCTCATTTTATTAATTTTTATGTCGTTACCATTATAATTTACAGAATAAGTAATTTTTATTAAAAATTTTAACGTGGTTAGTTATAAACAAATTAATATTTCTTTTAATTTTTTTTTAAATTATAAACTACATACGTGTGACCTTATGGTCTATAATATGAACTCATTCTCATTTCTTCATCTTTCAATCATTTTCGTTATGAAGTTCATGGAAAAACCATTGAACAAAATTTTAAGCAAAATAAAGTCGATCAATTTGGAGCTAGGCCTTCTTTCACTCTTTACGGTTATAAAAATAATGATTATTGAAAATAGGATTGACTAGCGAGTTATCTATTTTCCATTTCCGTTCAAAAAAAAATTTGTGTTTCTGCGGAATTGAGTCCCTAAAAAATGGACAAATCATGTGGAGTCTCAACCTCCACTTTGATATGTTACACTTAAAAGTAGTAAGTTTAGATCAAATAAAGTAAGTCCATTTTCACATGCATATCTTCTCTAACCTTCTTCACTAGACGACACTCGACCAAGATGAGATAATGACGCCCCCCAGGGTACATCCCAACTGGCAAAGATGAGAGCGCTTCAAGGCTGGCAGATCAGAGGTCGTGAGTTCGATTTCTGGAAGGTTCTTGGAAGGTAGATATTCTCCTGGAAGGCAGGAGCTCTACTGGAAGGCAAGGTGCAAAAATGGGAAATGGCTTGCTGGACACTTTGGCAGATCAGTTGGAGGGGGGGCTCTTGAGCACTGGTCAGTTTGGGGCACAACCTGCGGTTTAACCTGTCTGTAGCTTGAGGGGCCAAGGTGTAGATTCCAGGATTTAGTCACTGTAAGGTGGATATCTGGATATCAACAAAAAAAAAAAAAAAAAAAAAAGATGAGATAATGACTCAAAAAACATGTTTCTTGCCATACTTTCTGATTAACAAAAAAACAGTAACTTGTGGTCCACACACTTTTGCTCCTAGGTAGTGTTCATGAAAGTTGTAACCTAGTATAAATTAGAACTTCTGCACGCTAATTTATAACATGCTTCAAATCCGAACAAGATATCATTGATCATATATTCATATATATTGCAGAGTTTTAGTCCATTTCCATGGCACCAAACAGCCTCGGAAATTCATCGAAAAACAGCATGGTCCATCACAAACCCTCAAGACTCTCATTTGAGAACCTCCAAAGAACAGTTTCAGACATCTCATTCCAACTCAATGAACTTCTAACCAGAGAAGAAAAAGAATCAGAATCTGCTGCTTCTAAGGTACTTACTCTTCCCCCAGTATCCGAAATCGAAGATGCCAAGTGCGAGTGCTGCGGTATGTCCGAAGAATTCACCCCAGAATACATAAAAAAAGTGCGCGAAAAATTCTCGGGGAAAATGATTTGTGGGCTGTGTTCAGAAGCAGTGAAGGAAGAAATGGAGAAAAACGGTGGAAAAAGAGAAGAAGCATTGAAAGAGCACATGAATGCATGTGTGAAATTCAATAGGGTTGGGAGAGCATATCCTGTACTGTTGCAAGCAAAAGCCATGGGAGAAATTCTGAAGAAAAATAGGGCAAACTCCCTTAGTCCTAGAGAGAAGGGAGAGGGGGTCGGGCTGCAGAAGAAAGGTGGGATTGCTAGGAGTTCAAGTTGTATTCCAGCAATTATAAAGGAGATCAATACTGATAATATGGTGAAGTGAGTTGCAGAAAGTCATGTATTGACAAGAGAGATAGGGGGGGTTTGTGTCTTAATTTGTTGGATTACTTGTGCTGATTAATGGAGTTTTAGGGTAACTTAAATAATTAACTAAAGACCTTTTATTTGTAGAGCGTAGTTCTTAGATTAATGTATAATTAATCACTGTGTTATAGTATGATTATGAATATCTCTCTCTCTCGGTATAACAATGTGTAACAAATCAATGATATTTTCCCGATGTTTAGGGATTATTTCTTTATAGTTTGGTCCTGTAATTAGTATAAATGTTTCCTTTCGTAGTTATTTGTAACAATTTTCTCTTGTAAATCATAAACCAAAATATAGTACAAATTCTTGTATTTCTTACGATGATTTTGTCTCAGTTTCCTTGAAATCATAGTTCATAATTAGATATATTGTATAACTTGTGTTCATTGTATTCGTCAAAATATTTAACCAAAAACCATAAAAAAAATATAGAAAATTAAGCATATATTTTTTCAATTTGACTCTCTCTCTCTCTCTCTCTCTCTCTCTCTCTCTCTCTCTTACACACACACACGGTCAACTTACTATGTGAAACTAAGTTGAGTGATTTTTCAATAAAGGAAATGAAATTAATTAAAGTTGATAAATTTTTAGAAGGTCTTCTGAGCGATTGAGACTTGCATAATATTTATTTCGTTTCATTTCTTGTTTTATTTTTAAATTTATATTTGATTTTTATAGATTGTGCATATCCACACATATGGACACGAGATAAGGCTAAGATGAGCTAGAAGAATTGTATGTATAGTGATCTTACTTCGTTGATACATGCAAATGATCATTTTTCAAGAGAATTGTTGAATATTGGTTAAATAAATCGAGAATTGAAAATTGATTAAAGTGACTTCGTATCGACTTCGACCAAATACTCAAAAACTCGACTCAATCCGTTTAGGCAAAATTGTTTAGCACTTCGCCGCTTCGGGGAGCACAAACGGGGATCGACCTGCTCGGTCAGGTCGTGGAGGTCGAGGGGGCAGCGCCCCCCGTGGGGGCTCGAGGGTAACGCCCCCGAAAGAGAATTTAGATTTCTCTGCATGTATTGAAGGATATATTTGGCATTTCGAAAACCAATATCGGATGAATGAGAAATTACGAAAAAGGACGAAAATCAGGTCAAAATATTTGACCGTGCGATCGTATGGTTGGTAAACCGCGCGATCACACGTCAAATTCAATTCCGATTTTTTGAGTAAAACCGTGCGACCGCACGGTTGTCCCGTGAATAGACACCTTTTCATAAAGATGCATTGTTTGGAAATGGTGCATGGTTTAGCCTTAACCATTTCGTCCATACCCTTTCATGGTCTATAAATAGGACCCTTTGGGTGTCCTATTCCTCACAATTTGATATGCAAAACATTTCTCATCCTCTCTTCTATCCAAAATCAAAATCATTTCATTTATTTTGATTTTCCTTTATTTCATCCTTGGAGTACATAAGCCTAAATTTGGTTCGTTGTACTTGTGTTTTGGAGTGCTACAAACACAAGTGTACCCGTTGTATCTTGGGAGTCGATTGCAGAAATCCGTAGGCACCGTTGCGGGGCAAATTCGACTTAAGGACAAAGAGTCAAACTCTTGCCTCGACTTTGTCCCTACTTTCTTCTTCTTCTTGTTTGTGTTTTCTTTGCCGTTACTCTGTCCAATTTTCGGCACGGATTTACAAACCATCATTATGCTTATTTTGGCGTCACTATTCACAAAATTCCTCCAATAAGAATCACTCGAAAATTTAGACTAAATTAAAAAATAATTCAATAGAAAAAGTAAAGGGAAATTAGGCAGATTTGAATAATACCCTATTAACTAATTAAAACATTTAATTATGTAATTAATACATTCTAAACTCTCAAAATTACGGAGTCCAAATTATATTCATGATTCCAGTGAGCTCCCAGAGAGACTCTCCTCCTCACCCACGAGTCCATCGACTCTACTCTGCTTTGTAACTATGTGATTTTGTTTGGACGAACTTGTGTTATATATTTATTGTTTTTCACCCTATTATGGTCAGATCTATGGTGAAAATAAGTTGAATCTACTATTCAAATTCAAAATCGGACGAGGAAAAACATTGGACTACTGAACAATCTTCAAATTAATGTCAAAGCCTTATAAATTGAAGGTAAAGTTCAAATCTTATCATTTGAGTAGCAGATAGAAACTATTGTGCTGAGTAATGAGAAAATTTACAAAGCCTATTACGTATTGTCAAAACAATACTTTCCGAACTAGGTCTCGAGTAGATTTGATTTTGATACAAATTTTATAGCTTTGCATTGTTATGTTGAAGTTTCTGTCATGTGTTGTACCTGGATTCTAGAAAATTTCTGGAACTTTAATACAAGTTTTGAAGTTTTTCAACTTTGCGATGCATTAAAAGGGACGCATTGGGAAAACTTAATTAGACTATAGATTAAATTGTATAATGGATAAAATTTGTCAAATCCTGCTTTTGATGTAAATTATATTGGATTATTATTAGCCACTTGTATAGTCTTAGCCCAATCACATAAAATAGGAGACATGGGTTCAAGAAATTTCTATTGTGGCTTTCTATGAGTGATTTCTTGTAAAATGTGATGATGGTGTATATGGATTCAACTTCTTGGCTAGGCACATATACAAGATGCTATGCAAATTAGCCACCAATTGTTCTGCAAAATGCTCCAGTCACATTTTCAAATGATTGATTATCGACATATAACGAGATAGTTACCATGTACTACAGCCTCCAGCCACACAACTTTCTTGCGCTAAAGCCTCCATTAGCTGTTGTTAGTACAACTGTTGTGTACTATAGTCTCAGGTCATCATCGTTGAAGTTGTCAGAGAATGTTTAAGGTTATTGATAGCTACAATTGTGGCAACCACAGGCTGCTCCATCTAGTTTTGCAAATGGGTTGAAGTGATTCCAATTTTATTGCCTTTATTTGAACACAAGTTTATCATTCGAGTCTTTCTTTATTTGAATGATGCAGCTGCACCCTCTGGCAATAACCTTTTAGATGCAATAGGATCGATACTAGACAATAAGGAAACATTGCATTCTAGCCTGCAGTCACCATTAAGAGCTAATTTCTCTAGCATACATTTATTTAAAGATCCATAAATTGAATTCTTTCGAGTTCTTTTGTTATATTTTGTAGGGAAATTTACCAAAATGTCACTTTTTTTGAAAATGCACAAAAAACTTTGATGTGCACACAATTTGTACAAAAATGTCACTTTCTTGTTGTCAAATGTCTAAATTACCCTTAATTTGACTTTTTTGGAGCATTTAATGCTCCTTCATGATTGCTTTTCAAAACAATTAATGTTGTGACTTGATTGTTTAATTTGTATATTATAATCGTTGAAAATATGAATATTATATTGTCAAATACGAATTTAGTTAATAAAAAATGAATATAAAATACTTCAAAACCCTAGTTAACATTAAAAAAACAAATTTATTGTCAAACAAACCCTTATTTCATTCATCATCTTCATCCATTTTCTTCTTCCTGAAAAAGACATTACTTCATCCATCTTCTTCATCTATTGTCAGTTGTTACGAATTGTTTATATTTTTATGTAATAGTTTACTTTTTTTTTTAGAATGTTATAAACAACATGATGGTCTTGTTTTTTTAATATTCTTGAAGGAAAAACATACTAAAAATATTTTGAAAAATGTGAAGTATTTCATATTTAATGAAGCATTAAGTCATTTATTTCTGGAAATAGGTTGTGATGTTGTAGTTGTTGTAGTTGAGAAATGATTATAAGCATTAATACCAAACATATTTGAAGCTTCTCGGCAGTTCCGACACTTGAACCGTCGAACTCGACATGTTGAAACTGTTGGGATCGACATTTGAACTGTCGTACCCGATATTTATAAACTGCCGGGATACATAAGTAAACTGTCGAATTGGAAAGCTGAAAATTCTTGACACCCTTAATTTGACATTGTAGTATTGCACAGGTTTAAATATTGGAACGTGTCACTTCCATGCTATTATATAGTCGACATTTTGATTGCGCATAATTCTTATCGTTGCACTCCCAACATTTCAGGTATGAACAATAATTTGAGATTCATCGTGTTGCACGGGGGGAAGTTTGTTTACGTGAATGACGAATGGAAGTAAACTAGGGACAAAAGCACTTCCATTTTAGTGCCGAGCAGTATCACACTACCGGGGCTATTGTTACGGTTGAACGAGAAACTTGGTATTTTCGATCTGCGCACAAAATTTGAATTGAAGTTCAAAGTTCCGAACAAGAATATACCACCGGCCGAAATACTCAAAGATGAAGATGTAAATTGGTACATATCAGTTCATAAGGAAACTGCCCTCTGCAATACGACTTTGGAAACTGGCCTGCCAAGTGTTGAAATGGAGAGGGATACAAATTACAACCAACAATTGTTCGCCGCAGCGGAAGATCACCACACCGTACAGGACGACGAGCTCAATCATCAGCAAAGTGTCCCAAACAATAATGCAGCGAATACTCCAATTTTCGATGTTCGGACTGCACCATTACATGAGATGGTCGACGATCCCTTACATGGTACAAATACTGGTAATATTGCTGACGTTGACAAAGAACTATTATCGCATTCCAAAAGTCCGGATACATGCGACTGGATTTCCACTGTCAATACGCCGGATCTTACCGAAAAGGAAATATTTTTTACCAAGAAAGAGTTGTACTCGAGAATTCGTCTACTTGCGTTGCGAGAGAAGTTTCAATTTCAGGTTAGCAGGTCAAGCCAAAAAATGTTAACCGTTGTATGTGCCGACGATAATTGTAAGTGAATGTTACGTGCTTCGAGTGTGAAACAGTCTGCCATCTTCATGATCCGCAAATTCAACAATGTGCACACATGTTCCATAGATTATCATCGTTATGCACATCGACATGCCACTAGTTCTGTAATTGCTGAGCAGATTATGGGAAAATTGGATAATACGTAAGGATCGTATGATCCTACCGCTATTGCTCGTGATATGGAGCGTGAGTTTGGTGTGAAAATTAGTTACCATCAAGCACGTAGGGGAAAGGTCGCTGCTTTACATATGTTACATGGTACACCGGGTGACAGCTTTCAAAAACTTTCTTCGTACTGTCACGTCCTAGGAGAGAATAACCCGGGGACAGTAACGCACATCGAAGTAGATTCTCGTAACAGGTCTCACTACCTTTTCCTAGCTTTCGGTGCAAGCATTCGGGGTTACCTGCACTACATGAGGCCTGTTATTTGTGTTGACGACAGTCACTTGAAAGGTCCGTACAAAGGTACCCTTCTACTGGCAACTGCCCAAGACGCCAACAAACATATTTATCCGTTAGCGTGGGAGATTGTTGATGCCGAAACGAATAGATCGTGAATGTGGTTTTTATCAAATTTGAAAGATCTTATAGGTGACCCGAACGAATTGATGTTTGTTTCGAACAGGAAAAATAGTATTGAAAATGCCATTACCCACCTATTTCCTCGGGTTCACCACGGGTGCTATGTTTGGCATATGAAAAAGAATTTAATCCAGTGGTACAACAATGCAAGTTCAATATTTCTATTCAAAAGAGCCGTAAGAACATACCGGACCGAAGAGTTTGAAAGACTTATGGGACAGTTTCATAGGGTTAGTGTAATAGCATACGGGTACTTGGAGCGAGCAGGTTTCCCATTTTGGTCACGTGCACTATTTATTGGCTAACGGTACAACATTTTGACCAATAACAACACAGAATCTTTGAACTCAATGTTGAGACATGCCCATTCGTTACCGATCACGTGCTTAGTGGAACACATTCGGCATACTATGCAGAAATAGTTTTATGAACGTCGAGCAAGTGCAACTGCATGCACTACCATTCTGTCACCAACGATGGAGAATGAGTTACGGACGACGTTCGAAGCAGGTACTAGGCTGCGAGCGCATGGCTTGACAAATAACTTAACACAAGTCGAAATATCCAACGACGCGGACATCGTAGACTTCTCCGAAAAGACGTGCACTTGTCGTGAGTTCCAACTGAATCGTATGTCGTGCGTTCACGCAACCCGTGCTGCTTGCTTGAGAGGTAAGTCATTGTACGATCTCTGCTCACCGTATTACACATCCGAGTACTGGAAGGGTGCCTATGGAGAAGCTATATATCCTGTTCAGCGTGAAGTGGACTGGAATGTTCCACCCGAAATTACAAGTACTCCTATTATGCCCCTAGTGTGCGTCGTACTTTAGGTAGACCACCCACACGACGTAAGCGATCCAGACACGAGTGCACCACACGGCTCAGGAAATGCACTCGTTGCGGTGGACTTGGTCATAATCGGACCACATGTTCGAACCACACTGTACCACGTCCGATGTAAGCAGCATTTTGTACGTGAGTGGTTGAAGTTGTAAGTGAAGTGTTCCCCCGATGTTGTTTGTATATGACAATGTAAATATTGTATTACTGTTTTCATTCTCTTACGCGTAAACATTACTCTTTGTTATGTTAACATTTACAGAACGCAAATAGGCACAACACACTGCATAACTGTCTCGAACCAAAATACAATTTTGTTGTGCATAACATTGTTGCCATTGTTGACACATGTAAATAGAATGTACGGAATATGAAAAGTTCAACCATTATACAAGTTTCCTTTGAAATGCATATTACGAACACATCATTTGTAGCGCATAACACTGTCCGCAAAGTTCACAAAATACGTTCAATGTACACATTAGGTTGTGTTCGTTCAGCCAAACTACATGTTATATGAATATGCATACTACATACACAGAAAATTTACTAGTAAACCCCGACAGTTCATTTGTCGTTCCCGACAGATGGTGCCTGCCATTCTCGACAATTGTGCGACGCTCCACTTAACAAAATACACAAAACTCATAACTTGCCAACGGGAGTTTCCTACTTGCTACAGAATTGGTTAAGCGTCACAAAATCCATCCGTTACAAAAAAACCACTATACATACATACGTAGAAACCCACACACGCAACAAAGCCGGACTTTTCACTCGGACCTAACACTTGAACCTTCTTTCCCACCGTCATCATCCGAGCTGATGACAATTACCTCGGGCGATGGAACGCGACCCTGCCCCTCATCTTCGTAACGTTGAACTTCGTCTGCATCCATAAATGGGACCACCCATTGAAGCACATTTCTCGGAGACTCACCTTCATCACTTGCAACTTCGTCCAGGTTCGGAAAGGGAACGACAGTGATGGCTCTCCTACCACCATTCGAACCCACTTCTTCATCGTTCGAAAAAATTACGATGGGACATAGTGGGGTTGAACCGGGTGTCGGCATCGGCTCCTGAAGTGCCAGCGGTGAATTGCTTCCCGTGGACGATGCCATTATTTTCGTACGAAGAAACAAACTTCAAATACTTTGATACGTTCATGCTACAAGATGCCTCAGAAAGAGTTTCATATATCCCACTTGAAGAGTGCAAGCCTTGCTTTATACTGGAGGTATATGAGGACATTTAAAGTAATTTACCAACCAACCACCATTTCATTTCTACTTAACACTTGGTTGATCATTGGTGTGATGGTTAAGGGTATAAGTGTACTTTAATGCAGTCCATAAATGGTGAGAATTATGAGTAAATTGTACCCATGTGCAAGACTGCAATGGCAACATTCTTGCAATGAATTTATACTTACATTACTTTACAGAATTTTTGTAGTCCTTAGTCACAATTGAATACAGTTTTTAAATTCTAAATCATATGAATTGCATGAAAAATTGATAAAATTAATGTTACTGCCAATGAAGATGAACATTGGGTGACTTTACAAGCCATTTTTAAAATAAACTTTAATTTCTACAAATAAGCGAATTTACACTAAAACGCATGTCGAAATAAACATACATCGATTGTAATGTTGGGGCCAACATAGCAAAGATAACACCGAATTTTTCATTCTACGGTAATGCGAATTTTACAATAATCATTGTCCTCGATCGTTCGACCACACTCCATCACACAGAAGATCATTTCATACCATGACTCATTTGTGCAGGTATAACACCTTCAACTCCAATGAAATTAAAGTACAGAATACTACTACTTCATCAAGTACCATGAACATCAAATTATTTTGAGTACAAACAAATGTCCTGTCTCAATGTGCGTTCCACTTAACCATATCCCCATATGGAATTGAAGTAATCTCATAAACCCCCTTGACATCATCAACCACATCATATGTGATACGATGTAATTGTCTCCACAGTTGCACCTTCAGGCATGAACCCAGGTTTGGATCCCTTTGGCTGGTATTTGGTGCTATTAACTACACATCTTCATCATTGTACAAAAATTCGTCATCACACCTCGATGAAAGCACATGCTCAACTGAAAAATCAGCCCTCCGAATTAATTAGCTACCTACCTGCATCAAGTGTCTGCTAAAGTGAAATGACAGAGCAGAGCAAGTTCATAACTATCCATCCAATCAACGTAAGAACCAGAAAATGTACTCACCCATGGAGTAGAAAACGTGTAGGCAATCTAATCACCAAAAAACGAACCCTTTCACATATCATGAACAATACAGGCCATAAATATAATGGTGAAGCCAAAATACAAGACAAGGAAGGCATCGCACCAAATCAACACAGAGGCTCATGTTCGGTGGTTAACAGCTTCAGGATGGCCGTAGTTCGGGGGACTATAAAATTCATAAGGAGTCCACACTCTACTTGGTGTTGAGGCTTGGTGGTGGCAAGCAAATTATTGTCAAAACCCTTACTAGGAAGACAATAACCCGTGAAGGTGAAAGCTCCGACACCAACGATAATGTTAAAGCTAAAATTCAGGACAAGGAAGGAATCCCACCAGACCAGGAGTCAACTCTGCACTTCGTGCTGAGGTTGCGGGTAGGCATGCAGATTTTTGTGAGGACTCTAACAGGAAAAATCGTCAGTTCGTGTTGACAAGTCATATGACTGGGATATATAAGAATGATGATATATTCATTTTAGTTATGATGTTGATGTACCCTTTCACATTTCATGAACAAAACATGCATTATGTCCTCAACGCATACACACAAAATTTACCGACACTACCATCCCATGCTTGCACTAAACATGTATTATAGCAAAACGATATGTACTTTACAAAAGACAATTTAACGTGTACCATATTTCATGAACAGTAAATGCATTATGTCGTCAACGCATACACACAAAATGTACCGACAATACCATCCCATGCTTGCACTAAACATTTATGTACTGTACATAAGACAATTTATCATGTAGCATATGGATGAGCAAACGTATCCGTCCATAAAACAAACCAAATTAAAAGCATGTCTTTGTTACCAACAACGTATCTACTACTACATCAGACTTTACCAAACCACTTGAACTCACTCATTTCTTTACTCTCTTTGCCCTTCCCCTCGTGTATGGCGTCCGGGTAGGTGGTGCAGGACGTTGAACACGAGTCGATTGTCGCCTGTTTGTGCTGCCCACATTGCCTCCCTTCTGGGGTACGGTCACTTGTGCCGACAACTCTGTGTCAGCACCCATATAAAACATTTCAGCATTTTAGTGAAAGGGTTCTATGTGAACGACGCCACATAGTCGTGGAATAAGATTATTTAAGGAAAAAAGCACATACCGTCCACCTCCGTGACGTCATGGGTCGATGGGCCTTCCTCGTTGTCGTCGCTGGAGAGGGTGGGGACGATCACTCCTGGGTCTAGTTCAAAGGAAATTGGGTGAAATGGACACACACAAGATATAAATTATCATTTGCGTAGGGGGGAAGTGTTTGGTAATAAAACCCAAATCACAGAAGTTGGAAAACATTACGCACGTACCGTTCATGTCCTGCATGTCACCCTCCTCCGCACGGTCGTCGTCCTCTAGGATCTATTCGTCTCCGCCTTCCCCGTCTAGTTGGAAGACAGAGAACAAATGAATGAACGAGTGAAATTGAATACATATGCGTATGACGAGATGAGACGACAGAAGTTGAAAAAAAGAACGCACGTACCGTTCACCGCATTCATTTCACCCTCGTCTGCATGGTCGTCGTCGTGTGGGCTCCGTTTGTCGCTGCCTTCCCCGGTTACTCAAAAACAAGTAAGAAATTATTGAACGACTTAAATTGAAGACAGTAAGTAAAGGCGAATAACATAGGATAAGAAAGATATCACGAGATGAGATGACATAAAATACAAAATTTACGCACGTACCGTTCCCCTCCTACATTTCAGCCTTGTCAGCACAGTCGTCGTCATGCGGGCTCCGTACGTCACTGCCTTGCCCGTCTACTTGGAAACAAAAAAAAATTAGTATTACAGTCAAATTCAATAGACTAGCATATCACGAGATGAAATGACATCGAAGACCAAATATGTGTTACATAGAACTAACGGACATACCATTCACCTCTAAGTTCCTGATAGGGGAAGGACGGTCACCGTCATTTGGGCACGGGTCCATGTCGCCTCCATGTACATCTAAGTAATTTGGCAATTTCAAAAATACATTTGTAAGCAAACGCATAGGAAAAATTGCACACATGTTGTAAGTGGAAGTAATAGTAACATAAACTTATACCTTCGTGGGGGTCATCCTAAAGGTTTGGCTCATTCACGACCGGAGCTACAGCGGAAGTGGAGGTGCCACTAGACGGGGGCACCAAGGTAGATATGAAGTCCCTCAGTCTGGCAAACTCCTCGATGAGGTGCTGCATGATTTCAAGCTTCACGGTCCGCAACCTCATCTCGAAGAGGATGCGCTGATCATACAACATGCCCTCCACGTCCTCCCTCGTCAAAGTCGGTCCATCACGCGTACCCTGAACCCCAGATGTGGACGGGGCAACCACTGGAGTGGGTAATGCACCCGACTGCCGTCCCAAGGCATCCACTTCGTCCTCGCTATCACTACCACTGGTCTCGCTGGAGGGGTTGCAACCGCTTTCTCCACTGTCATCAGGCTTAGACCCATCGTCCTCATTGCCCTCCGGTGTCTGATGGTCATCGCTCGCGGATGTGTCAACGTCCTCGGCCTCTGCACTGGACTCGTCTTCATGTCCGTCACCCGCAGCGCTACCGTCATCTACCCCACTAGCTGGTGCCGCCTCATGGAATTGTGGCCCGACAACACTCCTAGCAAGGCCGTCCAAAAATTGCACTGGACGGTCGGAGAACGGCACCAAACTGACGATGTATGGCAGATCACGCTCGGCCGCCGTGGGACGCAGTGTAGCGTGCACGTGCAGCTGTAGAAACAGGGAAGAACATGTAGTTAAAATATAATGCATACTATTCCCAATTAAACAAAATAATGGAAAGGCAAATGAAAAATATCCATGACCTGTACGTCCCTGAAGAACGCATCGTATGTACGCTGCTGCG